TTGTGGAAATTTGATGAAAACTCGTAGAAAAATAAGCAAGTTCTAAAAATGGTGTGCCAAATTTGTGTCTGTGCTTTAGAAATTGGTTAAAGTGAAATAAAATTAAAAAAAAAACCTGAAATTGATATGCAAAGAAACGGATTGCGCACGAATCTTTATAGCTGCCATTGTAAAGGAGTTAATTTATTTTTGCAACAATTTTTTGTCTACCTAAGTATGTATGCCAATAGCAAATTAGAGGATTCGGAAGTGAAGGCTGATCAATAAGGTGCGTTTATAGGTAACACACACTTGCAAATAAATGTACATACGTGCGTGTGGTTTTGCAAATATTTTACCAAGTAAACAAGGTGAAATAATAAAGTTATACACTTTTTAATGTTAATTTGAATTACCTAAATTCACAGCTCTAAAAGCGACGTTTAGCAAGAAATATTTAATGTGTGGAGAATTGTTTTCTTAATCTCAAGTTCGTTAAGTATGCATTAAAGTGTGAAGATAAAAACGAAGTCATGCATATTGAGGTAAACTGCTTCGATGGCAACATTTAGCTGTAGCATTTATTTCTTGCATTACACAATCTCCAATATTCCGCACTGGCCATCAGCCGTCGCTCAAAGAGCAATCATACACATACCCGGCAGGAAATGTTAAGCTAGCAAGGAGAGCCCAGTTACTTGGAATCCATATGTAGTAGAAATTCTGATATTGGGAAATCTTTAGCTATTTGTACAACGATTTAGGGCTGGGGGTGGAGTGGGAGGGGCGTGGCTCCCCAAACCCCCCGCCTCCCTAAACGAAAGAGGCAACAAAAATTATAAGTTAAAAAATTTGTGTGGTATAAGGGAAGGTTTAACCCTGCTTTCTTAACCTATGCCTGCGAGATGTATGTTTTTTAAACTTTTCATTCTGGAAATTTAGATGGAAATCGTTGGTGTTCCCATTTTAAATGAGGAATATTTCTAAATAAAATGCATTTAAATATTAAATCAATATTTAAGACTCCATCTCTTTGAAAAAAAAAAATTTAAATCTAAATTACCTATCATAAAATTAAGGCAAGCTAACCATGAGAGGTCTCACAAACGTACGGTTATCTTCTCGGCAACTTTCAGTATGGATGTTACTGAAAAAAGAAGCGGTTTTGATATGACCATCAAAGTCAACAGATTTCTGCAAATTTTCATGTACGGAAAGCACAATTGGCAAGAATACCTTGAAAAGGAAATAATGAAGTTAACAAGATGCATAGTAAAAGTATACTTAAGGTCGGATTAACTTTAAAGCAATTGGATATGGTCGTTCCGAGTTAATATTTTGCGGACGTTACAATTTTTGCCGTTGAAAAAAAAATGATTTTTTTAAAGCGTTATTGTGGTATTTTATTAAAAGATATAGCGCTTAACACTAAGTTTAATAAGAGCTTTTTTACATGAGGTAAGAGGAATAATTCAGATTTCTCAAATTAATGTGCATAGAAATATGAAATTAATAAACATTGTACTATGCCATTTTTGATCCAAAAATGGGAGAATTTAAATTGCATGCATTGACTACTTCTCGTATTTGCCCAAATCTCAGGTGTACTCTGGATGGCTGTTACAAGTTTCCGTCTTCATCTTTGCAGCAATGATTCCCCACCTAAAACCTTATTTTCAGCGACGTCAAAAGATATGCATACTAAAAATCTTAGAAATCAAAGAAGGCTCTTTTACTTTTGACAGCTTTCCGACTTTTCGCTATAAAAGATTTACGGAGTTGCAGGAATCAGATATGTGTTCATTAGTTCACATAAAGAAGGCGGAAATCATGGATGCCTTTGGAAGTTAACATTGTGCAAATCATTCCCTAGATGCGGGCCTCAGTGCTTGAAAAAGAGGATGAAAATTGACGCCAATATGCCTAAAATTGTATTGAAGATGTAGTACCATAAAACTAGCTTTCTAATAAAATCTATTTTTAGTTTGAAATTATGTGATCTCTTAATATTTTTTTTTTTTTGGAACTCAAAGATCTACACCTCTAAAACAAAAACACCATTTTCATGAGCTGAGTTAAGGATCCGTTATCTCTTCTGTGCGAACTGACGCCGATTAGAAAAGCCAAGTGAAACTATGTCCTACTCCACTTCGTCCTGCCATTGCACCACCAGCGGTCTCCGAGTTGAATATGGGTGCCAAGACGCGATGCGCTGACTGTTTGTTTGCTTACAGGCGATACTTCGTCTTGTCCTCGTTTACCACCAGACCCAATCGTTTTCAAATTACCTCGAATAATTTCAAAGCTTCACAAGCATAGCTACAATTTGATTACATTAGCATTTCCTACAGGGTATTCATTTAACTATGAACTAAGTAGATATGCACCTTCATACATATGTATGTATGTATTTACATATGTATGTACCAAAGTATGTAAGCGAATGTTTTATATGCTCGTATGTATGTGTATGTTTAAGCCACATTTTATTTATGAATTTACTATATTTCCATCTATTCTACATACTCTCTGTTTGCTAAATTTTTTTTTATTTTTGTCAATAAAAGCTAGTATAGTATGTAGTTGTTTTTGAGTACCTATTTATACTCAAACTTTGAGAGTATATAAGCTATGTACAGACATAAATACGTACCGGTGCTTTGGTATTGATTGAAAACCACCTGAGTAATTTATGAACGTACGCATTAGGGTGGTCCTTAAAAAAATTTAAAAATAATTATAATTTTTCGAGTCTCCATAGAGGAATTTGAACTTTGCCCCCCTGGGCGACACGCCTTAACCGTCTTCAATCGGATCCAAAATTTATATGTGATTTTTTTTTTTTGACTATAGTAGCATCGGCCTAGGGAGCTGGGGTTGAGGCTTAGGAAATCTGATGTAAAAATTAGCTTCCTACATTTAGGAACCACCCTAATGTGCATAGATCGATATTTTTATACATAAATATGTACGCGAAAGCAACGCAGTGAAGTGGCACGGGCTACAAATACAATTGTATCCACTCATGCGCATAGAAAAATCTGTACCTGCAGCAGCGATCGCTCATTTACCCATTGGGGTGCTGGTATTTTAACCAAAGCTAAAGTGAATGCAATGCATCAGTTAAATGTGCATGCAAACATAAATATGTATGTATATACGAGTAGTATTTCATATCTCAGAGATATTTGTTTCACTGTTTTAACATTGCGTACTGAAAGCATGCGCATAAATACACCAGACCAATTTGATAACCGCTAAGACATTGCATTGCGTAGAATGCAGCAGGCAGATACAGCTCTTCGATATGTGAATTAGTTTTTGAGATAACAAAAAGTTAAAAACATATTTTCGTCAGCACATCGATAGAGTAAAAATAACCGAGGAATGCACGCTTTTCCAGATTGTGTTTACCTTTTAGTACATATGTAGGTTTTCTTTGAATTTTCTTTGTATTCTTCATTCACTGTGTTTGATTTCTGTTTTCTGCCGTGATACGCATGCGCCAACTTGACTTTGTTGTTGTAAAATGATGCGAGTTTCATAAGCACCTACCAAACTTAAAGTTTGCATTAAATTTATATTATTTCCATGTATCCTTGACGTATCCATTACTTTTTGACGAGTAGCCATAGTTTTTTTTTTTAAATAAAATTATGAGTATACTCTGCCCAATCCGCCCCGCAGATATGCACCAACTACTGAAAGATCGGCCTCTGAAACGTTGTCTATAAGGGCTACCGTCAACGAATTGGTTTGGGTCTTGTCATTGTGGCTTAGGAAAACCTTGTAAAACATAGCATATGCCTGGTATTAATTTAGGGATGGCAAAAAATAAAATAAAATAATCGATTAATTAATCATATGTTTAATCACAAGCTAAAAGAAATAATTGCAGTTAATTGCGATTATTGAGAAATAATCGGCTGATCGAATTTTTAAAGGCACTTTTTTACAGTGAGTATTCGCACAAACACTTTTCCATGAAAAATTTCTAATTCAAGCTTTAAATAAAATAAAACGAGTATTTTTAGTGGCGATAATTATTTATAATTTAACCAAGTTTGCAAACACAAAGGTTTTGATAAGCGTTTTGTTGCTAAGCGGTAGCGTTTCTCCGTGACTGCACCACCAGCTTTTGAAAAGAGGCGCTCAGCAGGCACCAAGGTAACAACTAAATGATAGTGTTTTTCAGAAAGTCCGTAAAGTTTTGGGTAAACAGTTTTCATTTCCTCCCAAGCGTCGAGGATATTCCAATTGTTCCTTTTATCTTGTGGGTGACCCAAATCATCATCTTTACGCCTTCGAAGTGTTGGCATGAGAAGAGGTGATTAGTTAAGAAGGGGCATCTGCACACATTGGAAGTTGGGGGTTAATTCTGGAGATGTAAGGGCCGTTTATACCGTCGATAACGATATTTAACTGGGCATTGGTGCTAACCAGACATTGTAAAAGCGGTCCTATTTACGCGTTTAGCCTGCTAAAATATCCAAAACCGAGTTGTGCAAATTACTTTTTTGTGATATATCACTCTGAAAGCATTTTATGCGAGGAAGCTTATGGTTAATGACTGTGAGAAATGGAATCGATAACGAAAATAAAGGCCAACCGCAGTTATCGGCAAAAATCGATTAATATCGATAACAAAATCGATAACGAAACCGATAAATATCGATAAAAAATCAATATAAAAATATCGATAAGAAAAACGATAAATATCGATAACAAAATCGATAAAAATATCGATAACAAAATAAACACGCGCTAAACTGAGATGAATTGTAAACTCCAAATAAAAATAAAACTAACTTCACATCGGGTTTATCGAATACATTCAGCATTTGTAAATAACAAGGGAGCATGTTTTACAGTATAAAATTTCTACACAAAGATAAACAAAATCAAAATCAATTAGAAATTTCTAGGCTGGGAGGTAAAACAGACGAAAAAGAGAAGAAAAATTCCATATATATTCCTAATTAATTTTATTTGAAAATTCTTATTGATTTTATTTATAAGAATATTTTTTAAAAATCATATTTCGTAAAGAAAATCTGCTTAATTGTATCATTTAAAAACACTTCTTAATTTTCCGTGATGTCTGCTAGAATTCATTGAAAGGTACTAGTTCCTAATTTTTGCGATGTCTTCATTAATTTTAAATTCATAATGTTAAATAGAATAGCGTCGGTAAGGCGACCCCGTAGCTGAATCGGTTGAGCTGTAAATTGCCACATAGGAAGGTCCCAGGTTCGAGGATAGGTCAGCGCAGACTAACCTAACCTAATA